GAGAGAGAGAGAGAGAGAGAGAGAGAGAGTGAGAGAAAGAGAGAGGGAGAGAGAGAAAGAGAAAGAGCGCAACGAGAGCAATTGCGAACATCATTTGATTGAAAAGAATCAAGAAATGACAACCGTAAGTACAAATAAAATATGTACGTACGCATAACCACATATCATATGTATTAGGCTAGTATTACACTTGTCGTGCCACAAAGATAAATATGACTTGATCAAAGTGTGTTCTCTTCGAAACAACGTTGAACCGCATTCAGCAAGCTTCTCATTAATTAAACACAAAATACCGTATTCTGGGGGGGGGGATTATCCTAAAATAATATATCAATCTTACAATTGTGTGCAATCGAAATGTGTAAGGTATATATATAATGCACACATACTGGAACTACTAACAATGTTGATGAGAAACTCGACAAGCATGAAAGCAGACAGATATGGTTGCGAACTGTTTGGTCTTCCAATATCAATGGTTTTTGGCATCTCCGGCACTAAACTTATTAAAGCGGCCTTGAAACAGCGGCCTATCAACTGAAAAATGCCCATTTGAATACATAAAGTGATGAATTTATACAATAAAAAAAAGAATAAACGATAAAGGAACTAATTTGTGGCTCACCTTGACGTAGTCATTCATTTAAAAGAGCGACTTGTCCAAATAGTAAATATAATTGAAGGCGCGTATGGACAAAAGTTATCAAAGATATAGCAATAAAACAGAATGGTGCAGCACAGGCGCGCATAAATGTCTACGTTTTCCTCGTGTGATGGCCATGTACTATCTTTTTAGTATCAACTGCTAATAATCTATTTACACGAACATATATAAGTGATTATTTGTAAATATAGAAGATAAATAAGTGAATTATAATTTCTGTAATAGAGAATATTCCTACTATTCTGACATAAAGTAAGACTTGAAAACCATAATTGATATTGTATAGGACATTGTATAAGAGTGTCACATTGTATATCATATCATCATATATACTTTGACAATCAAAGCACTGTGCGTTGCGTATCTTTATTTGGTTTTACCAGAAATAAATCAGAATAAACTATTATTGGACAAATTATTATAACGCAAATGAATTGACATATCTAATAAAATCATGCATTATNCTTGCAATAAACATCTGAGCATTTATGATAATCGGGTCCGCAATAGGTTCACTCTGCGTACTCATTCCTTCTATGACTGTTTTACAAACTTCAACTTTCATGCTTTCTTTGTCAAACAAGTCTATGAAAGGCACCAAATCGTCCTTGAAAATATTTTGACAATGTCTATATACTGTAAGTTTGAAATTATAAAACTAATTATAAAAAGAGAAATTGATAAAAAAAAAGATAAAACACAGAAAAAGAAAACACTTACCATGATAAGCACAGATTCAAATTCTTGCGAGCAACTATTTTCTTATCAATAAAATTCTAGAATAGTGGATAATAGTTTCCAAAAGTTTTGTTTGATCGTAGACAATCTATTATTTGCCAAAAAGTAAATTCAATTCGTATACCTATGCAAGCAACACAACATAGTACGAAAACGATAAACATAATCTAAGGCCAATATTACATTTGTCGTACAACAAAGATTTGAAATATGTTGATTAGCTATTAGATAAAGTTTTATAAAGAACTTTATTTGATAGCCAATCAATATACTTGAAATCTTTGTGGCACGACAAGTGTAATATTAGCCTAATACATATGATATGTGGTTATGCGTACGTACATATTTTGTTTGTACTTACGGTTGTCATTTCTTGATTCTTTTCAATCAAATGATGTTAGACAGTTACAAGAGAATGTACTTGCAAATGCTCTCTTTATTAAAAATTAAGAGTTTGTAACAAATAACTTTTTAATACAATTAAGATAATAGATTATAATTAACGTAACATTTACCATTTTCTGGTTTATTGCAGTATTGATTAATATATATATATTTCGTCACATACTAGTATAAACGATATAGAAGTTTTCTTAATCTCATAATTGTTTATAAATATTTATTGTATTCTTTTACATAGCGTGTATTTAATTTATTCATTTAGGTGCAGAATAGTGCTATAATTTAAATATACAAACAAAATTTAGCCAACCAACCTATTATTAATTATTATATCTTACTGAGGATTGGGATTTATTTTATGAACAACTGGCGCACGTTAGTAACTATACTAAAATTTGTAATATGTAGTACCAATTTTAAGTATAAGTTATATTTAGTTTTTGTTGTCATAAAATAGAACTACTCAGTAATCAAAAGTGATATAAGTATTGAACAACACTAGTAAATGGTAGATTTTATACACTTAAATAACAAAGCACATTATGTAAAAAAAAAATATACGTGAACTAAATATCTGTAAATTGCATCATGGGGTTTTTGACGAAGGTTATATCTTATGTCACCTAGAAAATTGCGACGAGTAATAACTTTTTTTTCAATGGCATCGATAACAAACGATGGCTAAAACAAATTACAAAATATACTTAAAACATACTTTTGTATGCATTAGTTTGATAAACAAAATAAAATGTATTAAAAAAAAATAAAACAAATTAACAGTTTATACGCAATCAATATTTCAAATTTGTACAAACAGAAAACCTACCGCACAATTACGAAAAAAAATATTTATATAATATCTTAAATATTGTATAAATTAGGAAAAATATTTACCGTGCGATGTAAATTCATCAGCTTTTGGAAGAGATTCTCATCGGTAACCTGAAAATACTTTGTGTTGTTATCATTGAATGTGACGCATGTGTGTGCAATGTATAAAAACACTCAATATTACATAGTAATGTTATTTCTGAATATATCAAAAGTAAGTAAAGATGTGGTGACTACTTCATGATTTTACCATACGTACGCATATAAAAACATTACATAAATAAAAACTAAAAGTTATGAATTACACATATAGCTAAAGCAAATAAGTAGTTTATTCGTAAATTTATTAATATACGTACTTTTGCCAGGATTTCATCTGAATATACGTGATTAATAATACAGGTCACTATTGCAGCTATGTTAATGTTTCTATCAAAACATGTAACAAACAAGTAATACGTAGAATTTATTTATTATTATACTACATAAAATATACTCTAATATGATACACTACAAAAATGTATGTAAAATAAGTATATTTAATATAAATATATAAACTATGTAGAACAATTATTGTGCAATCATGCAAAGATCTATATACAAAGATTACTTCTGTTTACCTTCTTTCTTTTATACTTTCTATTACGTGTAGTAAAGATGTAAGCGATTCAACACTTTGTATATGCTTTGCAATCGTATTATAAAGAAAAGTAATCCTATCACTTTCTTTTATAGTGAAATTATATCCATTTAATGGTAGTGAATAATTTAAAAGGGAAGAGAGAGTTAGTAAAAAATTGGTGGTATGTCTAGAACAAAGTACGACTTTGAACAGTTCTTCTACTTTTGACTGTTCTTTGTACATGTGCATAAGTGTAATCCATACAGTAAATGTATAATAAGAATTTTCTACTATTACAGTCTGGCAAAATATCCATTTCTGCCAACTTGGCAAGAGTCTGCAAAGAAACAATATGTACATATAACTTTACTTAACCAAAAATCTACTAACATGATATTGTGTTTTTTATAATAATAAAAATAATAATAATAATCATAATAATAATAATAACAACAACATATCAAAATTCATGTGATAGACGGATATACGTAAATCAACGTAACTACAACCAAATAACGTCCATAACAAAATCATTTTGTTCTTGAGTCACTAAAGTAACGTACTTGTGTTTGTCAAGATCTTGTACATGCCACTTGAATTCAGCCATAACAATATCTTTGCATTTTAAACCATCAAGAATACACGTCCATTTTAAAACTTCGAAATATAACTGATTAGTGACATTATTTTCGGAAGAAGGTGTATGCGACGAATCCTCAAGAAACTTATTCAATACAGCCAAAATTCTATACTAAAAAATCAAAATATATAAGTTTCTTTTATGATATAATGTTTACACGTAAGGTTATTTAATAAATGTTTAAACTATATTTTTGAAAAATCAAGTTTTGAATTAGTTAGTTGTTATATCTAATACATTTCATATTTCAATGTTTCTATTAAACGCTTATGTACACGTAAATGTTTCTTCTTTTTTATCTTAAACTTATACATTTTTAAAAAAGCCAGATACACATAATAATTAATATTTACTATTTGTTTAATGTATAACAGATTTTTTTACAACATATTTATTGTCATATTTATCAATAAACACTTTATCTAAGAAATATAATTTATCTTTTTATCTAGTGTCTCTTTTTGATTTGGATTTTAATTTTTAAGACAATTTGTTTATTTATAATCTTTTATACAAAATTTTTTGTGTATCGATTGCAAAAGTACAAACTAATGTAACAAAGTTCGGTAGATTATATTACAAGAATATAATTTAAGAAACTCAGGTATCATTTAATTTTATCTTTTTTTAGCATGTAATTGTTTTACAAATTAAGTACTATTTACCTTGATGTATGTACTTTCTGGAAACGGGAAAATTTTTGATAAGTACTCAAAAGCAGTAAATACAGGATACCAAGCAATGTAGGAATTGTTCACGTGAAATACACTGTCTACAATATCAAAAAATATGTCTAAGTTATCAGTACTATTTAAATCAAAATTTTCATTATAAGCTGTATTTTGTACTAAAAAATAAAAAGCATCGTCGAGAATTTGAGCTAACGTGACGTCAGATAAATTTAACATATTAAATGTTGTAGTTTTCAAGAAGAGAGCAATATTTTCCCAAGATTTACGATCGTAGTTGACGCGATATCCTACAACAATTAAGTGTTAGTAAGAGTGACAAAAGAAAACAGTGAGAATATTGAAAAAACAAAGAAAGAAAAATAAAACAATAAACCAAACAACAGTGAATATAATACATTGACGGAAATTTAAAAGGTAGTATGTAAAAATAAAAGGCAAAATTAAATAATCTATGTGTGTGAAAATATTACCAGGTACATCTATAAAAATGATAGAATCATCTTCTTCAATATTCAGAACTATAATACTGTTTTCGTCTGGTTGTAAGTACGATTGAGACTTGATATTAGACTGTGGTATTATTATATAGTTCACAGGTATCCACCACATGCTTACACAAGAATTTTCCATAGTACTTAGAAAACAATCTTTAATCGCTATTTCAAGAGTTCGTGTATTATTGTGTCGGTTTACTTGTACTATAGGATAACCAACGTGTGTCCAAGAAGTTATCACAGTTGTTAAAGTTCTCATGAAAAACATATTTTTGTGCGTAGACATATCAGATAGTAATTTGCTCCATAAAATAGCCACATTTGACTGCGTAGTATATGTATCACTTGATGAACTAATAGCAAACGAGAGTAATACAAAAGTGTTGATAAAAGGTACTAAAGTTTTCAAAAAGTAGATAATATTTTCCTTACGTTTTGACGATACCGTATACTATGAATTACACAAGTATAAAGTTTGCACAAATTATCATAATTTATATACTCACGTGTTATGATGTATGTTTATGGCTTCTCTAAACATGGAGTTGTATAGAACATGTTTGTCAATGTCAGTGACCATGTAAAATATACTGAGTGCTACAAAATAATTCCGATGGTATAATAAGTTTAAGTTTATACTTAAAAATTTATCTATATTAATGGCTGTAAATTTTTATGAAAATTTACAGCCATTAATTCATGAAGATAATGTACGCAATTCACTCAAAATCTACATAGACTACTATTGTGAATGTGCATATATTAAATAAAAAAACGGTATACTATTTGTGTTGGTTATTTTTTTATTTGTTTAGAATATTTTAGTAGTTATTTTCTACGATCTACGTGATCTAACACATGCATACAAAATAGTAACAGGTTAATCCTAAAACTGTGTGGTTTGTATTTTTTGGTTTATATATTTCTTCGACAAACGATAAAAAATATATTTAAATCTTTTTTTGTTTGTTTGTTTGTACAAATAACAAAAAGTGACCAAATTAGTACATTACAGTAGGCATCCGTTTTGAATAAAAAATCTTCGATTAAACTTTTATCACACACATAAAAAAGGCTAAAATCGACAGCTGAATTTGGCAAGTTATATGTAAAATGTAAAAGAAGTGAAAATGTACTTAATAAATGTGATTCTCTTACCACTTTTTCGCCACAATTCGATAAAAATCGAGCTTGGAGATATGAACGGTGATATTTCTTTAACTGGAATATTATGTGTAGTATATGCTTCTATAAAATCAAGAGTTTCTCGTCGTGTTTGGACTATTAGAGACTTCAGTAAAGAGTGACCACACATCTACAATAGTTTTCATTATTATACAAATACTATTTACTTAACTCAGCTATTGTACGCACATACAATACAGTTTTATGTAATAATACAGAATGACCAATACAGTTTTGAAAAAAGCTGAATCTATGACATCTGTTAGTAACAAATTTTATATTATAAAAGCAGCGTATTATCAGTACGACACATGTTTTAGCATAAAGTAAAATACAAAAACTTTATAGGAGCATATAGACTAACTATATATATAACAAAATAGTAAACATTTTTAAAAACAATTTGTAATATTTAACACAGACGTTATATTGGTTTTGTGTTCTGTACATACATATTTTACAAATATTACTCCTATATGTTTCTATATGCAAAAATGTGTATATATCGACACTCTCTATGTATATTTATATAAGGGTCACAGACGGGTGTGTTTCAGATAAACTCGAAAATGAAACAGGCAAAGCAAGATGTATAAATCGAACACAGTCGCAAACGGATGCAGTTTCAATCAGACACAAGTTGAAACAAACACGAGATGAAACGGACACACAATAGTCTCAATCGGACACATTAGTATTAAAACAAGATTACTTTTCTTATGTTTTTTTTGTTTGTGCTTTAAACGTGTAGTCAAAGGCGGCCTGCACTTTCTTTTCGATTTGCGTGGAAAGTTAAAACCTATATGAAGTCTTGCTTTAGTTTTAGTTACGTGGCTTGTCAATGTTTGCCAATATAATATGTCACTACAAGCGTCGTGTGTCTGATTGAGAATGTCTTGTGTCCGTCTTAACTTGTGTCCAATTGTAACTGTGTCCGATTGTCTCAGTTTCGTGTCCGTATCTTGTCGTGTGCGATTGAGTCTGTGTCTAATTTACACATTTTGCCGTATCCGTTTCATCTTGTGTCTATTTGAGACTCACACATATATTTATAGTTTATTGTATAGTGATACTCAAAATTGACGTTGTTATGATAAACAAATAATAAAAAAATATATTTCTAAGTAAAATATTCATAAGGTAAAATCGAAAAAAAAGCTTTTTTATTCAGAAAAACATAAAGTGTTAAACTGTTGACCTGCTGTTTTCTAATATAAATAAATTTGGGGTTTGAAGTTATGGGGTAAATGTAGAAAGTGACGATACTGTATATACTCATAAATATATACATATACATATGTATACATAGAATCTAATACATACCTATGTGCTGATACTAATTTTGGATCTTAATAAAAATGTAAAGAGTAATATTACAACAGTGTTACACAGAAATAATACATTAGTGTAAATATATATTAGTAGAAAAAAGTTTATTATAAATAATATTTGTGTGTAACAAACCTTTTAAGTTACAAGTGTAAACGACTATGATAATAATATGAATTACCTGATCGATAATATACACTCCATAAAATGTTGAAAAACCTCCCATAAACCAAGAATCAGACTGCTTTAATGAAGGTAACCAATCACTAAACATTTCTTGTATTACGTTACGTGCTACTAAACATGTTACTGTTTTTTTTTGTGCAAGTGAGTCTATTTCTTCATCGTATGTAATTTCAGCTTCACTGAAAAACATTGGTGTTAGTGCTATCGTGTCAGTTTAAGTACATTTGTTCATAAACTCGTTTTATTGTCTTGAGTAGTATCTTACTTGAAGAAAACATGATTTTTAGTTATTACACTTTCGTAATGGCTAGAATTTATTGGTAGTGCTGCATAAATCACACGTGACCATAATACATCTTTCCAAGTGTTCATAACATGATGCTTGATAGTTGTAATCAGAGATTGTGCATATGACAATTTACTGTTCATCTGTACTCTGTTTATTATAATGTTTTTTTTAAAAAAATAAAAGGAAGTGGCTACGGTAGAAGGTACGACTGCTATTGCTACTAAATGAGTAGACATTACAGAAGTAGAGGGAAAGTATGTACAGGACGTATTTTTTTCAATTTTTGTATCACCAGCCATATGTGAAAAGGCTTTTTCATCGTTGGTGTGATAAATTCGAATACGAAATGTGGCCTTAATTGCTGGGTTTTTCCATAATGGAAATATCCATTCATTGGGAATACGCGGCAAAATCAAATATCTGAATAGTAAAAACATGAGTGCTAGATATAAAGTATTATTTCACTAGTAATATATATAAATCATTCTTCAACAGGATAAACGTAATACTAATCACTTCTTCACAACTTAGTAGTAACTTACTGTGTTTCTTCAGATTGCTGGACATATGAAAAAACCGTTGCAACTTTGTCTAAACTACAATTATATACCGCATTTATCCAATATATTCCGGTTTTTAGATATGTTATTCGAGGTGATAACTCCAAAAGTTTGCGATTCACTTGAAAAACTCTAATAAGTAAAATTTTAAATTGATCTTTCGTAAAAAATGACACCGAAGTTGTCCAAACCAAAGAAGTAAGATTATCGCGTCTTAATTTATTATTACTAAAACCATTAATTTCCGGTGCATCACAATAACGTCCGAACTTTAATTTTATAGGTGACTGTAAACAGCTAACGTTTATTTTGACGCGAGTTTCAATGTTAAGAGAGTTATTTTGTATTAGCGGAAAAATCTTCATTTTATAAGATATCGGTTTTATGCATTGCAATTCTTCAGATAAAGTCTCATTCATGGAAGAAGCAATTCCGGTTAGAAATATTAAGTACAAAGTACCACAGAATGTAAGCATTTGCGTAATGTGCATCTATAAAAGTAAATTGGTTGTTAAACAACAAATATGCAAATAAAATCGCAACAACGGATTTAAATTGTTTAGAATAAATGGTTGCGTTTAGCAAAACAAGCTACTCTGTAGTAATCAAATAGAATTGGCTCTTACTTTTAGAACTAATTACTCAACGTCGAATATTGACAAGACAACAACTTAACGTTTGTTTTGCTAAACGCGGTCATAAATTGTTTTTTCAAATATTATTGCCACCAACAGATGTGTATGACCGTTATTATTAGTATGTTTATCCCCTCGCTTCGATGTTTTTGTTTGTCACGTGCACATACACGTATACACATACACTCACATATTATTTGTCATGATTGTCATGGATTCATTTATTTGATATATAGAAGAACGATTGAAGAAAGACGAGTCCAAAGGTTGTGAAACGTTTATGACAAAATATCATTTCAACGAACAAAGTTATATTCTACATTAAACTGTTCACATTTGTTAAGCGCGGTTTATTAATATAATATGTCACACATTGCAAATTACATCAGTGCAAAAAAGAATTTAAAACGTAGGAATATTCATGTAATATTGATGTACAAAGTAGAGTGACAAATATTATGATTCGTATAATAAGTAAGACAATCAAGTAGATATATATTTTTTATATATAAAGAACAAAAAACGGATCTCATATTTTGGTAGCGTGTATTGAAAGATAGAAGATACATTTGACAACAAATATTAATATTTAACAAATAATGTACAAGNTTTTATTGTGACTTACCATATTTAAGACAATAATCCTATCAATTAAAATATGAAAATTGGCACACAAGAATCATCATTATATACGGTTACAAAAACGAGGTGTCGAAAGATATCTGCGATCTTGCCTGTTTGAAAGATACTCGATAACTACAGGACAGTCGTTTCCGTGAAGTAAATATACATCACGATGAAAACATCTGTATTGTGAAAAACATCTTACTTAGAGCGTATGTCATGTAGATACATATTGAGGCATTGCCGTATTAAGAATAGTGCGAAGAAAGCGGTACGCCTCGATAGCTTTCTTAACAAAGGCTCAGTGGAGCAATATAAAACCGCAGTTTTAATGCTTAAAGTTCGATCGTTGTTTAATGTAATACAAAAATATCATTTATTTTTACTTCTCCAACTTACGTAATAGACACAAAATGTTTTTTCAATAAATTCGGCGTTTCTCGTTTATCAAAAATTACTAGANGTATTGATGTAGAACGAAAAACTTGCTTTGTCTTTTTTTGCTTATTAGTAATGCGCTTTTCCTTCGAAATAATTACGTAGCACACAAACGTACGAGTCGTTTATACTGTTGTATTTACAGTTTGTAACACAGACAACTGTGCAAATAATTAGCCAAATAATTTACGATCAAGTCAGTACTTTGTTTTTAGTTTCATAAACAATTTTTTATTTAAAAAAAAGTAAAATGTAAACTAAATTATTTATTAATTTTTNCAAGATTGAAACAATTTTTTGGCAGTTATTTAAATTATTATCAAAGTAATCTTATAAAGAATAAAAAAATATAGATCCGCATCGGTAGCTGTCTTTTCTTACTACGCTACTGTATAAAGATAGCTTTTGTAGTTCGGCGATATTCTGTTTCAGAAATGCCGCGTTTTATAAATCGCGATATACAAAGCTCGTATAAGCACGCATACTGAAGAAACGAAGTACTTAGTCTCCATTATAATTTGTAAATCGCGTTCTATTGAATTCGCGGTCTACGAAAGGTATCTCTACTGATAGAAATACGGTTAGTGATAAAAATATGACTTTTGAAATGTAAATTTTCACTGTTCAATATGCGAAAACGTTCATATACGAGATGTTTTATTTGAGATAGTCAGTTCAATATTTGTTTTTTTGAAACAACTACATTGAATAAACTATAAACAAATTTTGAAACTATTTAAAAGTGATTGCAGCACAGACTCAAAGAGGATTACATTTGTACTGTCTACGATTGAAAGTGATTGTTGCTTTGTAAGTTTTTCATACATCTATTTTTATAGATATGTAATGTTGAAAGCAGCAATTGCGAGTATGTCGGAAAAAAGTTTCATGGGTTGGCTGTTCTCAGGTTTTTCTGTGACATATACAGAAATCAAAGCAAATAGACGCCTGAAAACTACACTAAGTTCAATAAAAAATGAAACGGACAAAAACTTGTCTGTTTTGCGCATATCTCGTATCAGAAAGCCATCTTACTTTACAGCCATTGGATGTTAGCAAGTATCCCGCCAATTTAACACAAACCGCTATGACCACTTTGCACTCTTTACTTTTCTTATGCAAAGACCGATTTTCTTTTCTTGCTGAACTCAGTAAAGATTGCCACATACACAAAGACAAATCAAATAGTAGAATATAGTGATTTTTAATCAGGGCTTCTTATCATCTTCGATTTTGAGTGATACTTCGATGTAAATCTGTAGAGTTAGTTGCGGTACAAAAGAGCGCTATATCTGCGCCATTGCATCTCGCCCTATGTTTATTGCATATTAGATATAATACAAAGATAGAATGACGCAATAATTCTGATAGCGCGTCTGTCGATAAAGTCTTAACGTATTGTAATTGTAAGTAAATATCTATTATTTTTTAAAGTTCGAGTGCGCGCGCATCTAGTGTACTGCATGTTACATGACGTTTCAATAGGTCCATTAAGAAAGATATATGTAGAGTTTTAGAGTCTTCTGTAGTATTATAAAAATGGTTATGA